TTTCTTATTGCGTTCACGACTATTGATGTTATATGACTGGCTTATACCATTGTATATTTGTATGGAATTGTTAAATTGTACTTTTTTCTTATTTGGGTACTAAGAAAATCAGTATTACATTTATGGGCGAAAACTCACAAACTTTGTTTTCAATTTTAGATTCTCAACCAAGGCTCTGCGCCGATGAGTTTCCTCGAGAGTCATATCCAGCAATATGTCGCTTGCAAGTTAGACGATAAATCTCCCGGATGCGAGCTCGTCTTGCAGCCATTTCGCGTTGAAGTGAAAACGAAGCGAAAAAGCCATGCTGAGAACCAACTTTCCTCAGAATATTCCAACTTTTTCAACCGGCCGTATCCAAGGAAGCTTTTTGTTTGATGAGCTTACAAAATTTAAATTTTAGTATGTCCAGTACTTCTAGTTAGCAATTGTAGCAATTCTCCGAGTTTAGAAAAGAAATCCAATCGAAAAGAACTCGGGTCACAAGTGAATGCTTTCACTGGCAATACCCCAAAGGATCATTAAGTGCACTTACATTTTTTTATTGATACCTAACTTTTTTCACACAATTTCTGAAATAGTGCATGTATCCTAACTGACTTTTATACGTTGTCAATAACGTTCGTTAGCTATATCCACAGTCAGTACTCCCTTTACCAGTTCAACCATGTATCTCGCGTTCAATGAAAAACATCAAAGTTTTTAACTCTGAGGAGCTTTTTGGTAAATGAGTCATCGCGTAGAGCATTTCATCCACTTAAATCCTTCATATTTACAAACACCCTATGAAAGAGTTTCAAGTTTTATCAAGTCGCCTTTAAGCAACGAACCCATAAGACTATTAATAAATTAATGCTTCAGTAGCCTGTTTTAGTCTTCTTTTTCAAAAACCTGCTCGTGTACTGTAGCCAGCTTAATTGAGTGAAAACGCTTGTTAAATAGTAGGATCAGAATATTTATGACATTTCGGAAATAAGAGTGTAATCACTGTAAAAACCAGGCTTTTAAAACAAATGACAATTTTGACAGCTTTGTAATCGAATAAAGGAAGAACGAGTGCATGTTTTCGAGTTTTGGTGACATCCTTCTTTCCCTGTAGCGTTGACGACGTGAACTGCTTTAATTTGCTTTTAGGCTGCCGACGTTGTCTTTGACAAAATTCTCGCTACAAGATCGACCGTTAATCTTGTTCTTCTAATAACTCGTTACCAGTTCTCCTTTCTCTCTTTGAGTACAGTGCAAGCAAAACTGTTGCACTTCAGCTGTCGTTAACTAACCATAAAAAAGCAGCTTTTTTCACACTTTTGGGCCTTAAACAGTTAAGGACTGGTATGCAGGCCAACATTATCTGCAAGCTAAAGAAAATCCTTGCGCAATATCAAAATAAGCCCTCTATCACTGGCAACTGACTTCCAACAACCTGTCTTTATTACGTTTTATTGTTGTTATTATTGACCCTCGTAGGTGTTGCCAGTGGTGGGCATGAAACCTCAAGAATTGATAAAAACGAAATTAGATGAGACGTAACAAGGTTACATGTGGCAACCGGCAAGAGGCAAAACTTTAACTCGAAATATCCGGGTCGGGAGGTCAGTCTTAAAAAGCATGGCGAATATTTTTAAGTGAAATTTTTTATGCGAGTGAGGCAGGAAATCTAAGCCAGATACTTGGAGTCGATGCTAATCAATGCATAAATGAAACGAGAGCAAAATTTTCTGAGGACTCTTAACCAGGTTTCTTTAACTATCCTTACTGGTTTTTCGAATTTTCTCATCTGTTCGTGTAGGTAAACCAGTCAAGTAAGAGTTCTTCTGACAAGAAGTTACTTTTGATCCAAAAGTCTCCATCCAAATACCTCACCAAGAAACTCATGATTTATTTCACAAACATATAGACGGAAAATAAAATAACTAAATAAAAAAATAAAAAAATCACTAAAAACTATACGGGAAACGTCAGCTCAAAACTGGAGTTGATACACACAACAATATCCATAATCAAAGCTAATTTCAAGCTCAGAATAAGATTGCCATGTTTTTAAATGAGATGGCAATTAAATAGAAACAAGTTCGTTTAAAGGCTGTTAACTTTTCAGACGAAGTATGGCTCTGTTACCTTAAACAGTCCTTACGCCCCGACGGCGTCTAAGAACAAGGCGCATCCAATCTTAACAAATTGACAAACTTGACCTCTTCTTGTAGATAGTAAGCCCCTCTCGCCGCTTCGGGTATTTTCACTTTTGGTAGTTTCAAATCTTCTCCTTCCGCTTTCTTCGTCTTTTCGTTCATGTTTGTCAGAGCAGAGAACAGCCTGACGTGTATTTGTGCATCTCTTTTCCCGATCTCCTTCTCCGCTTTGGCTTCCAACTGGAATCTTGTCATATTCTTCTTGGCCTGTTTGCGCATATCTTCAATATCGTCAAAGTTATCAAAGCTCTTGTCACATTGCTTTTTAAGTTCATAAAATTGTCTTTGAAATTTTTTGATCGGTCTTTCCTTCTCATTGAATGGATAACTTGCTCTTGCAACGAAATCCTCGCTAACAATCGAAGCCATTTCGGGTATTTTTAACTTGCAAGCTGTACTAATCGAAACGCAAGGAAAATTCTCCTCTACTTGTTGTAAGTGACGTACCAATCGGACCGTTTTCATATTCTCCTCGACCTGCTTGCACATATCTTCAAAATCGTCCAAGTCATCAAACTACTTGCGACATTGTTTTTTAAGTTCATAAAATTGTCTTTGCAATTTGTCGATCTGTCTTTCCTTCTCATCAGATAGATAACTTGCTCTTACCACAAAACTTTCGCTGATAACCGAAGCCATTGCAAGTACTTTTCGCTTAAAAGGTTTACTCTTTTTTTCTAGCTTAGCAACTATACTAATCGGAACATAAGCGAAGTTTTCTTCTACTTGTTGTAAATGACCTAACAATCGGACCGTTTTTCAAGCGCGCGCTCAGTAAGTCGAGGCGTGTGCGCGCATTTTTCAGCACGAGGAATAACAAAAAGAAACAATTGGGAAAGCCTATGGCTCTTCCTGTCATAACATCTTTGAGAAATTTTATGAGAAGAAAAATCCAAAGGCTGAACACCAGTTTAATGACCGGGATAGGGAATTTATTGTTTATGTCAAATGTTTTCATTTGTCTTCTACTTTATTTGTAAGCGGAGAGTCCCTGCGAACAACATGGTCGTTTTTCTGTGAATCAAAGCAGTGGTTAACATTTCCTCCACGAAATAATACCTCTATGAAAAATGAAGATATATTAGCAGTAATGACTAAATAACAATGGCGGCAGTGATTATTGGTGCAGTAAAACGTACGGGGGCAGTATATCGAGGAAGCAAAGTGTAAAAAAAAAAGCTGGCAACAAATTATTTATCAGGAGCTGTCACTTTATGTGGCATGTACTGTTTGACTAATTAGCTGATTTTTTTTGTGCCGTATTTCTCCGTCCATATTACAATATACTAAGACATGGAATATTGTTCTTTTCAAGCATAATGCCTGTAGGCCTCAAAGGACTCCAAACTCTTTGCAGACTTGTCATCGTTACTCTTTGCCTTTCTCCTTTTGGGCGGGTTAAGGATTTCAGAACAGCCTTCCTTCTTGGGTTCTTTGACGCATTCGACATAATTTTCGATGTGTTCTTCAAGAAAGGCGAGTGGTGAAGAGCCTTGACTCAATACCTGAGAAATAAGTTAAAGAAAAGCTTTTAATTTGGACTGTGCGAGCAGATATTTGTCAGTTTTTTTAGTTCTGTAACGAAATGAGGTGCGTAAACATTTAGGCCCTTTGCTAGTAAAAGAGAAAATGTGGCTGCAGAAATGGAACAATGTAGGATATCAGACTAAACAAATAAAACAAACGAAATAAAAAAATAAATTAACAGACAAGAAAAAAAAGCCCCAGCATTTTGCAACCACGACTCACAGAAAAAAATAAATTAACTGAGGATACTTTTTCTCTACCTCGTATAACGACGATAAATCCAAATCCAAATCATTATGTTTATCATATTATGTCTATTTTGTTATTCACCTGGTAGTGGAAGTCTTTGAGATCGAAGTCTT